TGTCTATGTTTCAACAACTGAAGTGGTGCAGTGTGTTTGCTTACTTACTCATTTTTGATTGAAGGACACGGACTCGAAAGAGGAACCTTGTTTAGGCTTGTATTTTAAATGGGAATGAAAACAGCGTCGGACCGATGCGGGCGTGAGGAAAGCTTCCTGTTTTAAAGGGAGTCTGCTCTGAGTGACTTTCCTCTCTTTTAAAAGTAATTTCGCTAAGACATTTATTTATAATTTAGCAGGTCAAGAAGTGATACATTTGGTAAGTCATGCTGCCATTGATTGCGACACTTGTCGCCATTTTTATAACATAAATATCGTTGCGGTTAGCGTAAGTTAGACAAACGGTCAGCTGAATGGGTCCAGCTAACTAATCAGTATTAGGAGTACATATTATTTTGTATGAAGGATTTTAAAACCACTGCGTTAGCCTGTTACTGTGACGTGTCACCTACGATATGAAAGGTGCTGACTTTTGTCAGCTGTACTCAAGAGATAAGCTTTGATGTCTGCGTTGCGTTCTCTGTTAGACTGACACACCCTCAGCACACAGCATTTCTTTTATGCTTTTTAGGAGCTAACCTAGGATCGCCGAGGCAGAGCCATGCCTTTCCTCCATGGATTTCGCAGGATAATTTATGAGTATCAGCCGCTGGTAGATGCTGTCATGTGTGTTATTGGACTGGAAGAACGACATGACATTGGCGAGGAAAGGTAAAGCTGGCTATTCAGTTACAGTCCTCTTTTGGCAGTGCTACACTGCCGTAATTAATTGAACATGTATCAGATAACAGACAAACATTACATACAAGGTGCTTCTTTCTTCTCCTGTCAGGAGTTCTGAGGAAGAATCCGCAATTTCTAGGTCTCTGGTGGAGCTCCTGGAGCAAGAATCCCAGTCAGAGGTGTTTGTGGAGGGGATCAGCTATGCCCTGTTCAAAATGGCAGAGCGAGGTCTGGTGCAGCCAGCAAAAATCCTCCTACGCTACGGAGCAGATCTCAACTTTGAAGGTTAATAACAGTTTGGAGTGTGTTTTAGATGATGTGAATGTTTTTAACTTGACACTGTATACACATTTGTTTATGAAACCTTGCTAAAGAGAGAGAGAGAGATCATTTTGTGACTGTGCTTAATGTCATTTTTGAAATTTAAAAAAGCAGAGAAGAAAGAAACACTCTTCAGCTAAGGTGTGATTGTTGATTTTGAATCATTTGTCCACCAGAGGGCACTCTGCAACTTCATGTTTAGAGCACTACAGACACAACAATGAGTGCATTGTCTTATCTTAAAAAGGACGTAGAAGGTATATCTGATTTTTAAATCATCATATATCAATATCGGTCTTAAAAATCCTATGTTGGTCCGATTCAAATCAAGCGTATGTACCAACAAGCGCAAGCAAGCTGCTACAATACAAAATCTGTAGGATGAGAAAACAAATTAGAATAGTTTTCCTGGCAGTTTGGAGTTCATTCAGTGTCTTGCCATACTAGCAAAATTTTCAGCAGCAGTTCCAATATCAGAATCACAATCAGCATACTTTAATAATCCCTAAGGAAATTATGTGGGTTACAGTTGCTCTAGTATAAATAACAGAAACGGACTAGACTATTTAACAATACAGTATGTTACAGATTTAAGAAATAGCACAATATATACAAATCACTAAATAATACAAATCAAGGATTGACAGAGGTGATTATAAATAAATATCACCAGTGCTGACAGGAATGTTACAGAGTAGAAAGAGCGTGTGCAAAAAGGATGCAACTATTGCAGTGTTTACAGCGTATTAGATGGAAGAGTTGTACAGGGAGATGGCCGAGGGCAGGATTGATTTCCTGTGTCATTCAGTGATCACGATATGTCATATCATGATACGTGTACTTCAGAACATCAGATTCAGGTCCACTCAGTCTTTTGTCAGTGAGCGTATTACTTAGGCTACGTTCACATTGCAGGCGAAAGCGTATCAAATCCGACTTTTTTGACCCTATGCGACCCATATCCGATCATGGTATGACAGTGTGAACGGCACAAATCCGATATTTTCCAATCCGATCTGGGTCACTTTCGTAAGTGGTACTGAATCCGATACATATCTGATGTTTTAGAAAGCAACTGCTGTTTGAATGGTCATGTCGCATTAAATCCATCTTTTACGTAACTGACACAAGACAGACGCCAATTATCCGTGCCGGAGAAGCGCCCGATAAGACATCATGAAAGCTTCCTGGCCATCCCATGTAGATGTCAGTGAAACTGTTGGGAAGACAGTGTTGGAGAAACATGAACATTTTCTTTGTACTGTATAATCTGCAGATTCTGACAGACATTTCCAACTATCCTTTGAAGCACCGCTCCTCTCTAAAACAGCAATAAGGATATTTATTAGGCCATATGTAAATAACAAAATAACTTTATAACTTAAAGCAAAATTGGGAAACGTAAAGTCCAAAACAAGTCTTTATATTAAGAGCCATCAGTCAAACAATACTGTTCGGTCTGGATCTAAACAGAGCGCGTTGTGTGTGACGTCTTCTTTTGCGCATGCGGGCCGCTTTGAGGGTTCACACTAGAGCGCGTTTGCTGTCACGTTTTATTTGTAGTGTGAACAAGCAGACAAAAAAATCGGATTTGATCAAAAAATCTTAATTGAGCATTAAGACCTTCAGTGTGGACGTAGCCTAAAATGTGTGTTCAAACATCATAAGTGAACTGATGTAGGCCCAGACTGCAGGAAGGGACATCACTAGGAGATGGCAGATGTCATTAGCAGCAGCTTCTGTGGTTCAAGCTCCAGGTCACGATGCTGGCAGCACCACATTTTTACAGGAGTCTCCACTGCTCTGGATAGTTTACCTTCTGTTTTCAAAAGCTGAAAAAACAATGTGTGTGTGTCATTTCTGTGCTACTGATTTGGTTGCTGACACAAAACCAAATCCAACACTCCCAGTATGCCGGTAAGCAACAGAAATGTTGGTTAGGCAATGAACTATAGCCAGTTATTTGCCTTCAAACATATTTGCATCACGTTATTAATGACAGGGCTGCTTTAAGAATTCTTTCACAGGAGTGGCCATATTGGTGGCACACTAAACACAGAATTTCTAGTTTTTATTATGCTGTTGTTAAATATTGGATACTTGAAAGATATGGCAAAAAATAGATAAAGAAAAGAATTATATGCCTAGTTAATTTCATGCTATTAAAGTTGATATCACTGAAAATGGGTGCATGTGAAAACCAAATAAGCAAATTTTGGGGGGTGGCCAGTGCCCCCCTGGCCCAATAACACATTTGTTTCTTGTAACTGAAATTTTGCAAGCTGTTGCAAATGATCTTCAAAGTGCTGAAGAGTGTTTTTGGCTTTCTAGCATTCACCTCATTCCCTCCTGCAATAGTCCATTTTCTCTTAATACACAGATTGTTTTTAATGACTGATACAAACAGGAGACCACTGCCATTTTTCTACATGTAACAAGTAGTTGCACATGCATAATGAGCCAGTTATCGTCTGTATATACTAGTGGGAAGTGCAGCATGTTTTTCTACTGTGATTAAACCTTCCAGACTAAGCCTAACTATGCTGTGGTGACCTCTGCTGGTTTCAGGCATGTGTTTTTCCCAAGGGTATGATTAGGGATTTCTTGCAGAGGCTGCTTCATTCACCTCTCACATTTCATAAAGTCCTCTGGCGAGAAACAAATGCTCCCCACATACCATGCAGTACGTGTTTACTTCCTGTGTCTTCATGTCTTTTCATGATCTCTCCTTTTGCTTGTCTTTTACAGTTTTTCTTTTATTGCTCATGTTCTCTGTTTGGTTTTATACTCTGCATGTAAGTGTACAGTAACTTTTATAGCTTTGCCCACACTCATTTAGGAACAATGCTATATTGTCAAATCCTCACCTGTCTGTTGCTTTTCATCTCTTTAATGAAGACTTTGTTTTATACACAAAATATTTGTTTTCATTTCTCAAGACCCAGTTTCATACTACAATCCACTACACATAGCAGTTTTGAGGAACAGGCCAAACATGGTGAAGCTGCTGGCCGGGCACGGAGCAGACATTGAAAAGAGGGACAGAGTGAGTAAAGAGGAATCCATGACTTCTCTTTTGATTGATTCTGTCTTTTTTTTTTTTTTTAATCAGTAGAGGGATTCTATGTAAATCTGTTATTTCTGTAGATTCATGAGAGCAGTCCCTTGGACCTTGCCAGTGAGGAGTCAGAGAGACTGCCCTGCCTGATCGCCTTGCTGGACCTGGGTGCTGATGTGAATGCAAGGGATAAACACGGTGAGTTTACGATGGCCAAGCTTAATTGTAAAATTTCCATTCATACCCTTATTCAGTCATTCTGAAAGGCGATTGCTTTGATGTTGTCTTCAAAGGAAAAACACCTTTGCTCCATGCCTTGGCGAGCAGCGATGGAATCACCGTGCACAACACGGAGAACATCCAGCTGCTACTTGAGAGAGGTACTGACTCTAAAACGGCACTCCAGGCACTTTTCCTTCTCATCTGCTTTTGGTCATTCAAATTCTTCCTCAAGCGGCATCACAGCTAAAATGCTGCACACAGGCTTTTTGCCACCTGTGCTCATTTTGAACCTGGAATAAACCATGGATCTGATTCTTAACAGAAAATTGAAAGTGGAGCAGAGCTAGTGCTGAGATCCCAGCATGAAGCGACTCACTAGTGACTTTTTTTTTTAACCATAAAAGGTTTCATCTTCTGTAGGCAGAAGCTTAAATTTATCATTAAACTTCTCACACTTACAAGTATTTTCATGTGCAGAGGGTGACTATAGGGTTGGGACTTTTTTCTTTTTTGATCTCGTCTGGTTCAGGTTTTTTTTTTTTTAAACAAGTGTAATAAACACTTAAGTTTGTCCTTCAAAAGGCCAAACAAGGCTTGGACATTTTTGTGTAAACCAATGAATTTTACATTGTCATGTGCAGGGTTTTTTATGCAATGTTTTGTATTTTTTATTTGTGCTCAAAAGTGGCCCCCAGCTGTTACTGACATTTTCACTGTGGCCAATTCTGGTTTAGCGTTTTTTTTCCTTTAAGTGTAATTCCAGAGTGTATTTTAGTTTTCTACTTCTCAAAGACAAATGGGGATTTCCAGCATTACAGGATGCGTAGTCATCAACATCAACACTAAAGATTTTTTTTATGGTCCAGCAGGGGTAGCTAATTGTCTGTCCGCTCCAGTCCAGACACGGTCCATCTGCCTGCAGTGAGCCACTCTTGCTGGTGATGTTACTGGTCCATCAGTCAGCTGCAGAGAAGAGCGAAGTTCTAACATACAAAGTGTTGCACGTGAAACAGAGTGTTTAGCCTCTGCCTGTGCTTTTTATGTCTCTTTGTTATGCAATAATATCAGTATTGGAAAAGTGGTAATTTCTTGAAAAGTTGAAATTGTTATTTTCCATCTAAATTTTCTAATTATAACATTTCACAAATTTATTTAAGATTACGTTTATTAGCTCTTCGAAAGATTGTAAGGATAAAATACATATAATGTAGTAAACAAAGGATACAACAATACGACAATACCTATGACATCTAAATAATTGACTATAGAAGAAGAACATTATCCAAGCATCCGTCCGTTTTCTTCCACTTGTCCAATTCAGAGTTGCGGTGTGTTTAAATCGCAGCTGTTATAGGGGAAAGGGGCAGATCCGTGGGCAGGACTCCATTCTGTCGCAGGGTTAAACGATATGGAAAAGTTAAAAATTAATTTCAGATACACTCATATGGAAAAAGAAATAGAAAAAACTTATAAAAGACTTGCATAAGATGTGGCCTACTTCATATAGTGAATCATATAAGGCTTATATGATTTACTCATGAAAGTGGCCACTTTCATATATAGGTTTAGTAAATATCCAAAACATACAAGTTTCATTTATATAATTTTTCAAGGGATCTTATATCTGTTTTCACTCTTGTATGCTTTTCATACAAGTTCCACACAAGACAGATACCAACTTTATAGGATTTATATATATCTTTTCCATATGGGCTGTATTAGTATTATATGCTTAAAATAAAGAAGGTATAAAAGACAGACCGCTCACTGTGAAATGGATTGCCTACATTTTCAAATTAACCATACAGTTGTCCAGAACAAAATAAGAGTCATTTTTATTTTAATAATTGTAAAAGTAGTACAAAGTTTATCACACCGTCCACCTCAGCCTCCTCTTGCATCCGTCCTGCGGTCTCTCTCTCATCCATCGTCCACACTGCTCCGTCTCAACTCTGCAGCCTTTCACCTCATCAGCTCTGCTCTCCGGGCCATGATACCCACACGTTTCAGCTGCTCTGCTCCAGATTTCACTTTTTATTTGATTAGTTCTCCACACTCTGGACTCTGTTCACTCAGCTACCATTCTCTGCTGCTCCACATCTCAGTATCCCACCCTGGCCTGTTCAGCCCTGCAGTCATTGTTCATCTTTTATCTAACCACAGCTAATTTAAAAGATCAACCGTTACTTTGGAAGAGTCACATGAAAAAGATCTAAATTAGGATGTCAGTTTTTTGGCTGCACAAGGTTAACATAAGCCCTGCTGTCACTTATTAAACACTGGAAGAGCAAAGTGTATTTGGAAATAATGGAGGGATAAAGATCAAAAGCCAAACGGTATTTGCACAGCAAGAGAAACTGTGCAAATACACACAGCAAAAGAGGCCAGCTCATGTTTTTAGTTTGACTCTCAAGTTATCTGAAACCGTTCTGAACACCAGGGAGGGCCTGTATCTGATGCTAGCAATTTGCATGATAATAGATGTGGGATTAGTTTTTGGAGCCTAAGCCTAAAAATGAGAATAGGTTTTTTTTTTTTTAAACACGCAAATAGATATAACAGGACGTACTCTACTAAGACTGTTCAAATAACCCCTAAATTAACCAGTAAATACTGAGTTGTCTCAGTTTCAAAAGTGTTACAAATTTAAGCCTGTGTTGTAATCTGGATAAGTGCTGAGAGATGCTTCCTTTTCCAAAGGTGCTGACGTTCATGCTGCGACTGTAGACGGTGAAACAGTCGAGTCGTCGTTGGTGTTTCTGGTGAAGGAGGCGCTGGGGGCTTCGGTGGAGGATGCTGCTCAGATTGGTAACTTCTGCCTGAAAACCACACAGCTACTGCTGGCTCACGGCGTGGACCCCAGCTGCTGTCTGAATGAGGATGGCGAGCCTTCCCTGACGCAGACGAGCCTGGAGTACTTTGACCTGCTCTTCCCCTTGGCTGTGCTCTTAATTCAGAGCGGCGCGTCTTTGGTTTGCTCCAATCACAGTGACTCCTGTTGGTCAGGTTATAGCCTTCTCTTCCAGAGGCTCCAAACAGCCCTGCAGCAGTGCTCTGATCAAACTCACGCAGCCGAGCTCTTGGAGCAGGCAGAGATGTTGCTTGACCTGGTAAAGGTTCACAGCCCCAGGCTGCATCTCTCTTGCGGGCTGCAGCTCCCCATGCCTGGTCAGGAGTCTCACCCGTACGCTCAGGCTCTACTAAACCTGCACAAGCACGTAGCAGAGCGTGAAGCAAGCCCCCCTGCTCTGCGATGCCTCTGTAGGGCGTTTATAAGGAACCGCCTGAAGCCCTGGCCACTGGAAGACAGAGTCAAAGCCTTACCACTACCAGACAGACTCAAATACTTTCTTCTTCCCGAGCACACGTACACTCCAAAGTCTGGCTGGGACTGCTTCAAGCCCCAGCAGAGCCAGCGCTGACGATATAAACTGCTTACTACTATTTGTGTTGCTTAAAATCTGAAGTGAAAGACTGAACAAACTCTGTAATAATTTGTGTAAAATATTTGAGGATGTGATAAGTGAAGCGAAGTCTAACATATCATTGAGGCCTTTGTTTAATTTCCAAATCTGTGTTGCCTGTGCCAAATTTACAGACAAAATTGTGTATGTGTTTACTTTACAAATACAACATTGTAAGTACAGATTAGTCTTTGAGTTGTCACTGCCACAGTGAAATGCTGTAGAGGTGAAACATATGGACACGTTTATTTAAAAAATAAAATAAAATAAAAAATGCAGCACAATATGAAAGCCACCAGATGGCAGTGTTGCTCCTGCATTTTCAAAGGTAGCTCAGACTTTGGAAGACTTAACTATTCACAGTGCAACCTATTGAAGTTGTTCCAGCACAGTAGGGTCCATCTATATTTTAGATCCTCAACGTGACGGTGATATACTGTAGAATTTGTGTAACTTCAAGCTTAATATGAAGATGTAATGACAACAATAATAACAATTAATAAAAACTCCCACCACCTGTGACCTCATTGCTTTGTGTAGCAGTTTTTGTTTTGCGTTTGTTTACACATTAGTGCTTATAATTTCCCAGGTAGTGGCAGTGCAGTGCTGAATGTGACTGTGACAGTGTACCGGTAAATAACAGGACAATTGGTGGTACACGTTTTCCTCATGGATGCGCTCAAACCACAAGCATCATTCGAGTGGTTGCTAAAATAAGGCACAGCAGAAGGAGCGCGCCCCTAGATGTGTATGTGACATAATGTAGCTTTGGTGGCTGCTGAGGTGGAAAGTTTTACCTGGCTTTTTTTTTTTTTTTTTTTTTTTTTTTTTTTTAATGCTTAATGGTTAAATTCTGATGAATTGAGGGCCCAGTATACCCCCCTTTACACTCTCGCACTTGTGCTAAACCCATTCTTTCCACCCATGCCTTTGGTAACAGGCAAACAGTCTGTAAAGAAGCAAGCGATGATGGTACAGGGAACCGTTGCTTACATATGTGTATGCATCCATGCGTGTGTGAGTAGCAAACTAAATAGGACATTGTGTTATACAACTAACCCCTTCCTGACATTGCTGAAGCTGGAGTGGCTCCAAGGCTTGCAGGCGCTCCAGCTCCTCTTGGTTATCTAGGTCACAGCCTCTGAGGAGAAGAGCCGCAGCAGCAGCAGCAGCCCTGCATGACACACGCTTCACTCTCCTGTCTGTCTGAATCTCCCTGCACACTCTTGACAAAACCTCAACACTGGCCCTGGTCGAATGAGGGGAAGAGTGGGAGGGAGATGCAGGAGGCAGAACAGTGGAGGGGAAAAAAAAAGACATTAAAGATACAGAGATGCCATATGTGAAATGGTTGTGAGAGCGGTCGTCATGGAGGACACATGGAAATGGTAATATTGGGCTGAATTTATACTATACATTGGCAGCAGGAACATAATCCGCCCGACCAAAAATGACAACAGTGGTGGTGGGGGGAGTTTAAAAAAAAAAAAGGAACAGGCTTCTTCCATAAAGTCCAATCCTTTTGCTTGTAGAAGGTGATAGAATAGAGATAGTAGGGGGCGGGGAGGGAGAGGTCTAAGGCAGCATTCTCCATCCAGCATTTATTGGAAAACGGTGCGAGTGAAGCTCTGTACTGAAATTAGTTATTGATCTATTCTCTCCCTGAAGCCCATGGGTCTTTCCCCACCGCACCTGCTCATTCTCTCATAGCCTTCTTTCACCACGGCTCATTATATCCTTCAACCTCTGCTGCGAACTGCTGTGTGTTTTTGCTTGTTTTGTAGTTCCTTTATTCACTTCAGACCACTCTGTCTGAGAGACAAGAGCTTCCAAAACAATTCTACAGAGTTCAATATCAGAATGGATTTATGAGGGGCAGGTGCCATTAGAGCTGCATGTTTTATAAATGAAAAAAGTGACTTATAGAATGTTGAAATAAAGAAAAATATGAAATCTCTTATTTCATGCTTGGGATGTTGACATATTTATTCAAAGATAATTATTTTTGCTAATTGCTTTTGCAATTCCTTTAGCAGAACACACTAAAGGATACAGGAATACCTGAAATATCTGATGCCAGGAAAGGAAATATCAGAAATCTTCAAGAAATTCATTTTATTGATATAAATCCACATTTTCCAAACAAATACTTTTTTGCATGCAAGAACCACGTACTGTGATCAAAATTACATATATGACTTTATATTTCCCTTCATGTCTGTGCTCCCTGGCTGAGTTCCCAGCTTGCCCTTAACCTTTTCATTAACCACTACTTCACCAGCTGAGAGACGTTCCGGTCTAGCCGGGGCCTTTTCCTCTGTGGAGAGCAGCCTGTGCAGGATCTCCTTGTCTTCCACTAGACAATGTCTAGACGCGGGATAATTGCAGACATCACTGAACACTCAGCTGCTGCCTGAAGCCTCATGGGAGTTGAGGTGGACTTTGGAGGGAAATGGCCAGCAGTCAGTGAAGGGGTTGGGAGCTGGAGGGGGTTCCACACCGTGGAGTCACACCCCTTTAGATTGTATGTTTGTGTGTTTTGTTTTGGCTTCACTTATCTTTTTGCCCAGGTATCTTTATATTGTGTGTGTTTGATTGGTGAGAAGAAGAGTGTGGGAGAGGGAAAGAGAGCGTAGACATCGAAGCACACAGCGCTCATACCCACAGATGTGGTGACTTCATCAGACAAACATGTACCCCTTCCTCTCGCTCTGCTGAAGTGCACTGAAATTAATGGCTGCTAACACCAAGATGAATTTGGATACCAACGTATTTCTTGCAATCGTGCTGCATTCCAGACTGTATATACTTTATCTGTTGCCTCCACACAAGACTCTTGAACGTGTAGCTTTGACTCGGTGCTGGGATATTGTGTGCGTGTGTATGTGCACATCCTCTTATGGAGGGGAGGGGACTGCTGGTTGGTCAGAGCGAGAGAGAGAGAGATGGTTGCAGGCCATGGGGTTCATATCGAGCTGGTGGGACTTAATCTCAATGGGGCTTGATTGGATGTAGGACAGCTGAATCCTGTTGGGGCAAGCCACCTTCCTCATTGTGCTCCAGGTGCTGGTTCCTGCTTTAGAGCGGCACACTCTGACTTGTGTCCTTCCATCATGAACAAATATTTTATCTGTTTACAGCTTTTACCATTTACCCCCCCTTTTTTTCATAGATACTGTTCCAAAATCTGTTTGTGCACCAGTAGGGTTTTTAAAGCCTCGACTTTGGAAACAGAGTAACTCAGACAAGTAACCAGAGCAGCACTGACACAAAACTTGTTTTCCTCTTTGAGGGAGAGCCGTTACTGAAAGTGTATAATGCGGACAACTTTTCAGCCTCACAATCCAGCTCCTATTTTAGAAGCTCTCCAGTCCACCACCCTCTGCATTTCTACAACAACTGACGCCATTTCACAGAAATTCCAGACTACTGGCGCCTGAGCTCAGCCTCCAAGAAGGACATGATGAATAGGACACACCCTTGGTATTCTAGTGAATGGTACGATATATGGCACACTGCGGTGTTACAGCCCAGATTCACTGCAGCCTTTAGCTCTTTTCAGTGCCGTTTTTCTCCCATTTTTATTTATTTATTTATTGTAATTATTATTTTTAAAGGGGTTCGAATTTGAGTGAAATGCACTGAGGCACCAGTAAGGCGAGCTCCAGCTCTTTCCAGCGCTTGGTTCCTGATCCACCTCTTTGTTGTGGTCTATGCATGCCTGCTCCAGTCACATGACTGCGTTTCTATGGCAACTCGGGTTTGAGTAATCATTTGCGTTACGACCTTTATTCCCTTGAGGAAAGGGGAGGGGGAGGTTAGACTGAGCCTGTAGAAAGAGGGAGCAAGAGGGAAAGAGAAAAGAAAGGCAGAAGGGGAGCGGCGGAGAGGCACAGGGAAGGGAAAATAGAGGGGAAAATGTTGCCCTTACTTGCCTGTATATATTTTATGTCGTATCTAAACTGCTTAGCAGCTTTTTTCCTCGCACCGTTCAGCAAATGGGAATAAATAAAAAAAGAAAAACCTGCCACTAAACACTGGGTTGTGTGCTTCAGTTTCGCCATAATGGCTTGTATTTTGTGACTCACTCTGTGACTAGGGCAGAAAAGTGAGTTTAGTTGCAGAGAGGCAGGCATGCATGTTTCATAAGGGCACACACACACACACACCTCCCCTTCACTTCTTCTCAGAGGAAAGGCAGCTCTGTGCCACATGTG